CTAGAAAAGATGATGTTGTATTGGCTGTGACTAAGCGCAGCGGGTTATAGGCTAACGTTACCAGATCTCTTCCTGTTTTTTTTTCTTTTTGAGTAAAGAAAACACTGTACTTTATTATTATTATTATTATTATTATTATAGGCAAAGAAGAAAAAAATATATATATAACGTTATTAACCGGTATTTCTTCTACCCGAACCGGTTTCGGAACGGTAATAATACAGAGGAATGCAGGAAAAGAAACATTAAAATTTCGATTCTGCTTGGATTTAATTTTTTTTCCGTTTTCAAGCCCTGTTCTCCTATAAATGTATTACATTATTATTATTATTATTAGGCGGCCTATTATAAACACTTCAGCACCACATTTCACGCTCGCGCAAATGAGGATTAGAGCCTGTAGCCGGTGAAGGAGTCTCCAACCACAAACACAGACGTACATCGTCTGCTGATATAAGGTATTTCATTGCATTTTTACAAGTAATCTGAACGGCCGATATATGTGCAATATTTTAACCGAGCCCTCACTGAGTTTAATGCCACAGTTATGTTAGAATGCATTTCATTCTTGTTTCTGTGGCGGCACGTTAGGCTCGTCATGGGGCGCACGGTCCTGAGCGCTGTATGACTGATGTATCCGTTCAATTTAAATTTACTCCAAATATATGAACTTACCTGTTTTAAATGCTTTATATTTAACGTGTCCGTTTATGTCCAATATTTAGTGTTAAACTGTTGGTCTTTAAAATAAATCTACTTTTGATTTTCAACGTTGACTGCAGACCTTTTAGACTGATAACGTTCTTGCTCTGATGCGGCAAACTTGTCACAGAACATGCGGTCCTAATAACGATGTATGACTGTTGTATCCGAATATATATGAAACCTGTTTATACCTGTTTTAAATATTTTTTTTATATTTAACATGTTAGTTTATCAGTATGTTTGAAAGTATATTATTTCGATTATTGGTGCTTTCATAGGCTCTCTCTCGCGCGCGTGTGTGGTTTAAAACACCACATAGTTATGAAATAGCCTATGATAAGTACAGTCTCTCTCTTGCCCCCACCCACGCACACAAGCACGATAATATCGTGTATCGGCGATCTCACGGGCTGGCGATATGATGATTTGAAAAGTGACGATATCGCCCAACACTAATATATGAGTTTGCCTGTTTGACGAGATTACATTTATTGTCCCTGACGATTTCTGTAGACCTATTTAGCCACTCGTTTGCAACAGCCTTTTTCAAGACATATGAAAGATTCAAAAGAATCACCAGAGGTAGTTCTTGTGTATAGTATACTGTAAAAGAAAACATGAAAATATCTTGAGCTTATGTTAACCACAGAACTTATTTCAGGCATTTAACCAAAAACTCATTCAAGTAACCCACTGACTTTTGGGTGATGTAACCAGAAGTGCTAAAATGCTAATTCATTTCCAAGTTTTGGCCTACAAACATACATCATGGTGTGAGGCCTATTCAGGCCATCAGTTTTTCCAAGTCTTAATATTTGGAGAAAATTTTAATATTTTAGCCAAATCACAGCCATACGTTTCCATTTGCTGTGTCTGATTGACTGGTTTTGCTGACTTATTTCATTTATTAATCCTGGTTGTTTTCTCTCCTTGTTTTTAATTTGCCCTAATATGCATGAACATCACTCCATAGTTAAAACCGGATTGTTCCACCACCCAGACAATCAGCAAGCAATTTCAGAGAATGACTTGCTCTAATGGTTCCCTATTAGCAAAGATCTAGCCACAGTGAATATAATCAAATATTCATTTACTACATCAAATGTGGAAAAATATTTCTGACACAGGAATGGAAATTGTTAGAGTAAGGTGCCTAAAATTAGATTTATTTATTTATTTATAGTTACAGCTTTGAACAGCTGATTCAGGAATGAACACATTTGTATGTGGACTTACCAGATGCAGATTTACCTTACTGTGTGCCTCTCAGGCATCTTTTACACATACTAACCGGGTCACTGTATAATTAGTCAATGGTGATACGGTTACTCTGTTTCTAGGAAAATGTTTCATTTCTAATTGCAAGCTGAGGGCTATTTGCATCACATGAAAGCCACTTTCACTGTACTTATATTTCAAATTGGCATGGAATCAAGAAATGGGAAATATGACCTTCTGCTGGCTCGTTTCCAATTACATGTTACACAGATATAACTAGTTGTCCTTTTCTTGCAACATGGGGCCAGACCAGCAACAGGATATTGTTTGGGAAGCTTACAAATTAGTGTGGAAGCCATACAACCACACAACTGTCTCGGTGGGATTTAAAACCGCATCTTACATGTTTTATAAAAGTGATGAAGTGGGGCAGCTGATACAGTAGGAAATATAATTTTCCTGAAGTCTCTGAATATGTTTGGGGCTCGCTGCTCTAAGAATAATGTGAAGTAACTAGTGGTTAAACGGATCGTAGTTGATCCGTGAGTCATACGGACCAAGCCCCACGGTTGGGCACGCATGTGATCTGCGGATTAATTGCAAAATTTAACCATAATAGAGTGAAAGTTTATCAATTGTAGGTGTTTACACACGCAAGCGATTTTAAACCATTCTAGCGAAAGAAAAAGGCGAAATGGAACTTGATTCTTTACTCGCGCGCTGTTTTCTACCACAGCCGCACAAACATGAAGCTTGCACACGCAGAGAGGCGCGTTTGACTGCGCACGAACACCGAACTGAACCATCTTTCCTATCTCATTCACTCCTTGCCTTTGAACAGATGCATATACACATAAAATTGTCAAAATACCGATCTCGACAATCATTGTGGCAAATGCAGTCTGTTGTGTTTCACTAGAGGTTAAACGGCTCGTAGTTGATCCGTGATTCCTAAGGACCAAGCCCCACGGTTCGGTACACATGTGATCCGCGAATTAATTGCAAAATGTAATTTTTATCATAAGTTAAAATCTTTTTTATCATAACTTATCATAAAATAAGTTTATCAATTGTACGTGTTTACACACGCAAGCGATTTTAAACCATTCTAGCGAAAGAAAAGGCGAAATGGAACTCGATTCGTTACTCGCGCGCTGTTTTCTATCACAGCCGCACAAACATGAAGCTTGCACACGCAGAGAGGCGCGTTTGACTGCGCACGAACACCGAACTGAACCATCTTTCCTATCTCATTCACTCCTTGCCTTTGAACAGATGCATATACACATAAAATTGTCAAAATACCGATCTCGACAATCATTGTGGCAAATGCAGTCTGTTGTGTCTTAAGTGAACGAGAACAGCTGAGAAAGAAATCGGATGTGTATCATTAGGTTATATTGGATCCGTGCATCAGGTCTTAAAGGGCTAGTTCAGCCAAAAATAAAAATTAGGCTGTGTTTTACATTTTGAATATGGATATTATTCTTACAAAAACGCATCGATTCGCTACAGGAGGCCTTTGTTCCCCCCCCGGAGCTGTGTGAGACACTTTTTTTTTTTGTGGAAGGGTGCTTTTTATTTCACGTCTTTTGGACAGAAGGAATGCAACACCCGCTGAGTACAACGATAGAGCTTGAAAGATCAAAGACAATTTTTAATATAACTCCGACTGGATTCGTCTGAAAGAAGAAAGTCATATACACCTAGGATGC